AGCATAGATTATTCCAAACTTATGCCACCTCCCTCTTTCCTAATACAACATACAGGCTGTTCCAAACATACATTATATAAAAGGATATTTGGAAGCACCAGATAGAAATAACAAACTGATGTGTGAAATAAGCCGCCAGCAAACGCTCCAAAAAAAACTGGATTACTCCACCTGAAAAATATACATATCAGTGTATTAGTGATCACTGGTTGTTACTGAAGGCCCACAGACTCAATAGGGAGACCCCTATTTCATCCTGTGTGACCTTGCATAATATGACGAAAAAATTTCACCATCGAAACCTGTGTAAAAATGCCAGGTTTGACCATTTCCCTGACATTTTTGACTATGTATCTTGAAAAATGAAAATATGATTATTATGACATATAATTTGGTTTGAAACTAAACAAAATCTTTAAAAAATATTTATATTCACACTACCTTGACATATGCGCTAGTCTGTGCATCTGTCGACCAATTAAACATGTCAGGAAAAATATACCAAATAAGGCAACAACATTACCATAAACGCCCAAATATGAACACGATAGTATTAAAAATGTAAATGCAATGGTTGGTAAGAGCAGTAGAAAATACCACGAAAATAAAGGTCCTTTTGGAGGATGGTCCTGGCAACGTAAACTGCCCCAGTATGCAAGCTCTTTGGCAAGAGGAGCATGCCTGAAACAGAACAGAAATATAATCAAAAATGTGTGAAAAAGGTGTTTGAAAATTCGAAACAGGTGGCTTGAACTGTGGAACAGGCAACTTGAACTATGGGACGGTATTGAACTATGGGACAGTATTGAACTATGGGACAGTATTAAACTATGGGCCAGGCAGCATGAAGTGTGGAAAAGGTGGCTTGGAGTTTGGAACAGGCATGTGGAAGTGCAGAATTGATAGCAGTAAGTGCAATACAGGGTAAGCAGAGAATATTAATAATATGAATCAAAATGTTCTTTATAATAATTACCTGTATGATTTTCCGTCTCTGGCAATATTTAGTGGACAATCACCAGCCTTGTTTTTCTGGTTGATCTGTGCAATTTTTCCCTTCTGCAACAGCACCCATGCTATGTCAGAATGCCCGTTTGTACATGCTAAATGGAGTGCAAGATTCCCAGCATGATCCATCCAGTTCACATCGGATCGCTTTTAGAAAATATGTAATTACATCAACTACAGTTTTTGTGGACATTATGTGGACAAGCACTAAATAACATTTCTCATTCATTCTTATGTTATAAAACTTGATAATGATGACCAAATTCACTCCCAACAAAACCAACAAATAAACAAAATGGGCTACTGCAGAAAACAAACACTGAGCAAGCCTCAATTTTAGTCACACACACCACTTGAATAAACAATCTATTACAAAATATATTTCAATTCTTGTTTATATACAAATTTAATAATTTTAAAATTTTTAATCGTTTACTGCAATAACTAAGTCTGATAGTTCTAGAACTGTGTGATTAGAGAATGCAAAATGTCAGCAAGTGAAAACCCTGAAGCTCATCACACACTTATCAAAACATACCTGGTTTTTCAGTAGATACCTAACTGTGTCAAAATGCCCGAACTGACTTGCTAGATGTAGGGCAGATATTCCGCTGAAATAAGAACAGAAATGAAAGACTCAGAGGGGCATTCTGCAACTACTGAAAACAACTTTAAATTTTTCGAGAGACAAAAATTCACGAACTTTGCGAGTCACGCAAATTGCAAATTTGTGACATCAAATTTGAACAGTTACCCAACAATAAACAATGATACTTCAGTTCAGATTATATTTGATACATTATCCTGTAAAATAATGCGATGCTGCCAAGAAGAATTACTTTTTCCCTGGATGAAATATTTTGAATTTAGCACAGAGAATGATGTAATTATTATTACTTACCTATTGTCTCTCTTATTCAATGATGAACCAACAACTTCAACCAGATACTGCATGGCATGCCTAATAGTGGATATAAACATAATAAATAAACTCAAAACAACAAATTTATGTGTAATATTAACTGTACTCCCTACAAGTACCATCAAACTAGCACAATAACTTCTGATTTTTGATACTTTAAAGGCACATCATCCCAAACTACATGTACATACCTGTATGCATTACACAGGTCTCACAGCATTTAGTGAGAAAAATAAAC